CAAGCAGGAAAAGCTGAGAACTGGCTGTCCAGGGGGGGTCCCTTTAAGCACGAGCCTCAGATAGCCTCAGACAGCAGCCACACAAAGCAACTGCTGACCTGATGCCCTGCCAGAACCGGTTTCAGCTGCCCTTAAATGCCCCCCTGCGTCCAATCAGTGTGGACGCGCTAGTTCGAACTAGCAAAACGCTAGTTCGAACTAGTTTTTAGTTCTAGATGCGCTAGTTCGAACTAGCTTAGTTCGAATTAACTAATTCGAACTAAGTTAGTTCGAACTAGCGCTGTAGTGTAGACGTACCCTGAGTGTGGCAGCGATGGTGGGAGTTGCCATGTGCTGCCACCACTAGGTCTCTGAAGCTGGCTGCGGGGAAGGAAGAGAAGTTGCATGTAGCAACCACTTTATCTCTGAGGCCACACAGAGGCCTGGAGGCAGGACAGGCAAGTGATGTCATCACTAAATCCCTGACATGGATGAACACAGCCAGGTGCTGGATCTATAAGGCCAGCCCTAGGAGTGGGGCCAATGGGCAATACCGCCACTGGATCCTTGGATCAGGCAAGGGAGGATCGTGGAAAATCCAAATGCCACAGTGTCTATTTCTGCAGTCACTTGGGAGTGGGAGAAGTCAGGTGCCACAGACAATGGATCCCAGGGGCTGGCAAGGGGCTGAGTCCGTGGGTGCCGAGGGCAGCAAACATTAAATCCTTGAGGCCAGAGGGTGGCCAGGTGCTGCTGACAATAAATCTCTAAGGGAAGCAGAGTTCCAACACTCATGTTGACACTTGATCCCTGAGGCCAGCAGGGTGTGGATGGGCAGGCTGGGCTGCCACTGGAGCTCTATGTCTGCCCAGGGGATCTTATGATCTAGCAAAGGATGACATAATGTTTGCTATAGCCACATTCCCAAGCATCTGCCCTGATGCCTGCACCACCCACACTGCCTGCTCCCTGACCTGAAGGACCCAAGTAACACTAAGTTAATCTAGTCCTGGTGGTAGATTTTGCCACTGGCGAGGTAAGGAAATCATTCTAACTACTACAAAGGCTAATTCTGTGGGGAAAGCCCTTTCCATTGTGTTTAGCAGTGTTGGGTTCTCTAAAGAGATTTTTTCTCACTGTGGGTCAAATTTCATGTCTCAGTTATTCAGTGAGTTATGGAAATTGTGTGGGTGAGACAGCTGAAAGCCACCCCATATCACCCAGGCTACGTCTAGACAGCAGGGCTATTTCGGGATACCAGAAGTATCCCAAAATAGCAATTCTGCATCTTTAAATATGTTTTGAAATAACAGGCACGCTATTCCAGCATCCCTATAACTCTCGTTCCATGAGTGTTAAGGGACCTGTCGGAAGAGTGCTTTATTTCAAAATTTCGAAATAAGCTATAGCTTATTTTGATGTAAGGGTGCTGTGTAGACGCATCCCCAGAGATGAATAGTCTGGTGGAACTCTATGCAAGACATGTATTGACATGAGAGTAGATAACCAGTCATTAACTATTTGCTTATTGGAAGGTGATTCAGGAATGAAAAAGGTTCTTTCAATTTGATCTTCTGTACAGAGAAGAAACTAGGTGACTCCTAGATCTTATCAGAGACACCTGATAAGGGGATTCTGTGGCAGTGGGAGACCCAGTAATTGAAATGGTATAAAGGTCCAGAAATGAGTTAAAGATAGACTACTAACCTTATGATTAAATGCTCCTTTGAAATAGGGGACTTTGTGTTAGTATTAAGTCCTGTGTAAAAAAAAAATAAAAAAATTACAATATGCAGAATTATTGGGAAGGACCTTTGGAGGTGAAAGTACAGATGAATGAAGATACATATCATGTTAAAAGACCTCGTTATAGTGCTGTCCCATAGCTGGTGCATGTAAACAGATTTAATCTATCACAGGAGGGAATTCATGGTGAACATGATCTGTTGTGGAGAAGGGGAAACTGAGGCACCCCACCTTATTGATTTGATGACAGATTGCCAATCTGACTCATCTCTAGAAAGCATCAATATCTGCAATGATTTAACCCCATCTGAAAAGGCAGAGTTGATATCTGTGCTGCAAGAACACAGGTGAGTGTTTTGTAGAAAATCAGAAAAGATTCACTTGCTGAGTCTTAAGATCATTACTATAGAATCAGAAACATCTCCCCACAAGGTCTACCATATAACTGGCAAGGTCCAAGAGCATATGAACACAAATACAAAGGATGATGGCTCTGGGAGCAATTAAAGAGTCTCAGAGCTCTTGGGCATCACCTGTGGTCTTGGTCCCTAAGAAAGACAAGAGTGTAATGTTTTGTGCTGACAATAGGAGAAACAATGCTTGTGCCTAGAACTGATGATAAATATCCCAGCTTTTTTACTTTGCTAAAGGATACAGGAAAACTCCCTTTGATGATACACAGATTTGTTTTAAATCAATAGTAGTATGGGAATGTATGAATTCAAAATGTTTCCATTTGAGTTAATTAACGCAGGAGCCAGTTTTCAGAGGCAGATGAACCAAATGTTAAATGGATCACCAGACTCAGCAAAGGCATATGTACTTGATCTGAACATAAGAAACACTTGTGAATTGTTGTGTCAAAGCTCAAAGAAGCAGGCCTAATTATAAAAGCCTCTATGGGCATGTCTACACAGCAGCATTATTTTGGAATAAGCTAGTTCAGAAGAAAAACTCCGAAATAGTTCATTTCAAAATATTTCTACACTACAAATGCCCATTGAAATAGCACTGAGCTATTTATAAATAGAGCGTCCACACTCATTGGATGCTGAATCGCATTTAAGACCACCCAGAAACGCTGTAGTTGGGCATCAGGACAGCAGTTACTTCCTGGAGCTGCTTCCTGAGGCTCGTGCTTAAAGGCTTGCCCCCTGCACATTCATGTCTGAGGTTCTTCACTTTTGCCTACCTCCTCAAGGGACAGCAAAGCCTTTGCTTGCAGTGCTTGCTCTTGCGGACACCACAGCTCTCTAGCCATGGAGCCGCACCTGCCTCCCAGCGGTCGACAGCTCTTGCAGGTTGTGCTGTACCCCCTACAGCACTCTGTGGGTTGCCTTCCTGGCCTTGCAAGGACACAACCCCCAGCTCATTGCAGGGAAATTCCTCATCTCTCTGTGGGCACTGCTCATGCAGTATGATCACACCTGCCCTCCGCTGCCCATTGTGCACTTCCGCTTCTGGTGTCTGGACACCAGTTCTGACTGGTGGATCCAGATAGTCATGGAGTGGTGGGACGACCAGCAGCGGCTCCACAATTTCCATATGTGGAAGGAGACCTTCCTGGAGCTGTGTGAGTGGTTCAGGTGACAAGACATCCACATGCAACCTTCTATCCCCCTTCAGAAGCGGGTTGTCATCACCATCTGGAAGCTCGTCATACTAGACAGCTACAGTCCAGATAGTCATGGAGTGGTGGGACGACCAGCAGCGGCTCCACAATTTCCATATGTGGAAGGAGACCTTCCTGGAGCTGTGTGAGTGGTTCAGGTGACAAGACATCCACATGCAACCTTCTATCCCCCTTCAGAAGCGGGTTGTCATCACCATCTGGAAGCTCGTCATACTAGACAGCTACAGATCCATCAGGAACCAATTTGGCGTGGGGGGAGGGGGGGAGAGCATCGGGGTTGTGCTCATGCAGGTATTGTGCACTTGGGATGAATTGCTGGAGTGGAGTTCCCTAGGGAAGGGGCGGTGGTGGTGGAAGCCCCCTCTCTGGGAGGTCTTGCCTTCACAAAGCCCTAACGAGATGAGGTAAGTAGGGGGTTGCTCCAGGTGTGTGAAGGAGAGAAGGGGTAGGCTCATGGATTTCCCAAGGGTCCTGGCAACCCTGTGATTCTCTGCTTGTTTCCTTCTACAGGTGGTGTAGGACATCAGTGCTGTCCTGCTGCACAGAGTCATCAACCTGGGTGACATGCACCCCATCATCGCTAGTTTTGCTGCCATGAGTTTCTCCAACTGTGGGTGAACTATTGACAGCATCCATATCCCCATCCAGGCTCCCAACCACCAGGCAACTGAATACATCAACCACCAGGGTCTGTATTGTGGGGGGACGCGGCATACCCTTTGCTCCTCTAGCTAATGAAACCATACACTAGACACCTGGACCAAAGCAAGGGATGCTTCAGTGCCAGGATCAGCAGGGTGTGGTGGAGTGCACCTTCCGGCATCTCAAGGGGAGCTTCCATTGCCTCCTCAGCTGCCTGGATGTTGGGGAGTGGAACATCCCCCAAGGGGTGATGGCATGTTGTGTCCTTCACAATATTTGTGAAAGCAGGAGGCAAGGACTGGGCGGTAAGGATAGGGTCAAGAGTGACGACCATATAAACTACTTAGGATGGAAGAATCCCAAGCATTTTAACAGGCTGGAGACTAACTGGCTAAACTGCAGTTCTCCAGAAAAGGACCTGAGGATTACAATGGATGAGGAACTATATATGAGTCAACAGTGTGCCCTTGTTGCCAAGAAGGGTAACTGCATATTAGCTTGCATTAGTAGGAGCTTTGCCAGCAAATTATTTCCTTCTATTTGGTATTGGTGAAGCCATATTTGTAGTGTTGCATCCAGTCCCACTTCCCCTACAGAAAGGATGTGAACAAGTTGGAGAGAGTCCAGCAGAGGGCAATGAAAAGTATTAGGGGTCTGGTACACATGACTTATGAGGAGAGATTGAGGGAGCCAGACTTATTTTGTCTTCAGAAGAGAAGAGTGAGAGGAGATTTGATAGCAGCCTTCAACTACCTGAAGGGGGGTTCCAAAGAAGATGAAGCTAAGCTGTTTTCAGTGGTGACAGATGCCAGAACAAGGAGCAATGGTCTCAAGAAGCAGTGGGAAAGGCCTAGGTTGGATATTAGAAAAAACTATTTCACTAGGAAGGTCACGAGGGTGGTGAAACACTGGAATAGGTTACCTAAAGAGGCGGTGAGATCTAAAAATATTAAGTCCTGGCTGGGGTGTTTTAGTTGTGGTTGCTCCTGCTTTGAAGAGGAGATTGAACTAGGTGATCTCTTGAGATCTCTTCCAATCTTATTCTTTGATTCAGTGAAAGCCCCTCCTCCCCCATATTCATACCCTACACATCATTGCTATGATCTACAAAATATGCCTTGTGAGCAGTGTTCCCTCAAAGCTTTTCCATCCATGTCTGGAATAAATGTTATGTGCACCAAGGCATGTGCAGATTTTCACCACCAGTCCAAACACATGCTGCTGGCTCTGGGCACTGTGGGTGCTCTGCTAAACAGATGCACAGCATTTGAATCTCTCCTGGATACTCACACAAGTGCTCAGCTTAGAGGGAACACTGCTTGTGAGGTATCATTTGAAAACTAATAACTTGCTGGTAATTAACATCTTAGGCTATGTCTACACTACTAGGTTATTTTGACATAAATTATTTTGGAATAATAACTCCGCAAAATAACTATTTTAAAATAAGCTTATTTCTCTTCACAAGCAGAAGCTATTATTTCAAAATAACAAGCTCATTATTTTGAAATAACAGGCTTAGTTGTGTGAACACTCTCCTTGTTATTTCAGAATAAAGGGAGTTATTTTGAAATAGCTCCTCAGTGTAGACAGGCCCATGGCGAAATGGATGTAGGAATATAGTTATGAATTGCCCCATAAGACATTGGTAGCATATGTTTAAGCACACACAGCCCTGACTAGCCAAAAAGTTGTTAACTAGATCTAGCCTAAACAAAGCGAAATGTGTTTAAACTTATTTTACATGCAAATAGTAAACAGGGTCCTTGAGACAGCAAGATGGGAATGCTAGGTGATAAGGCAAGGTTGCAGGTCTGCATTCATAAGGGAGAAGAAAAAGCATGGAGCCATGTTCACCACCAGAATCCATATTACCGTTTTTACTGAATAAAATGCTTCACTTTCAGCCGTAACCCTTGGCAGAATGCATTTCAAAAGAGTAGCTGAACAATTCAGTGAGGATAAAAAGCATTCCAAAGCATCACCCCCTATCTTTCCAGTCTCTTTTACCTAAGACAACAAAGGAACCAGCCCTTTGAAATTGAGGAGATCCTGAGCTGAAAATGTAGTCAGCCATGTAGCTGTGAACATGTGGTGAAGAACATAGTAGCTATTTAAGTTTTAACTTAATTAATAGAAAGCATTTTATCTCTATTTTCCTTTTAACCATTTCTGAATGTAATGCCTTGTTATTTGAATGTAGAATGTCTCTTTGTAGTTCACTTGTTTTATTTTTATCAAAACTAAGCCAGTGGTGAGTTGAAACTGAGCAGCTTGGGCCTGCACTTTACAGTAGCATCAGGGAGTAGCTGAGTTAGTCTGTACGGGATAAACTTAAAAAACGCCAAAACAAATAGTCTGGTAGCTCGTTAAAGATTAACACAGTGGTCCCCAATATGGTGCCTGCGGGCGCCATGGCGCCCACTGGGGCATTTATGTACGCATGAAACATCTGAGCTGTCCCCTCCCCTGGCACCCGGCACATGCATGGTGTTGGCCCCGGGCGCGTGGCGCATGGGCAGCCCCACCCCCAGAAGTGTGGTGCGTGAGCAGCCCTGCCCCTGGGTGCCCTGCAACCACGAAAGGTTGGGGACCACTGGACTAACATGTAGATGGCATCATGAGCTTTTGGGGGTATATCCCACTTCTTCAGATGACTATGAAGAAGTGGGCTGTGCCCACGAAAGCTCATGATGCCATCTACATGTTTTGTGAGTCTATAAAGCACTACTGACTATTCCTTGTTTTTTTTAAGTTTATCTTTTCACACTAGCAGACTCTCGCGACCCTTTACAGGAGCAATGGGCTGTGGTAGCTGAGCTGGCTAGACGCGGGCTGGGCAGCGCAGCAGGCAGGCTAACGGGAGAAACTGAGGACTCGGGGCGCGTGTAAGGGACACCCTGCACACAGTGACCAAGGCTGCTGGAAACCAGCGTGACTAGCACGCGGGACACCCAGGACCCTGCCCCCCGTAGGCCACACAGGCAGGGAGAAACTGCTCCCACCCCATCCCCCAGATCCCCACGCTCCTCAGAGCAACCTTAGTACAATGCCCCAGGAAACTACAGTTCCCAGCATGCATTGCTCAAGAAGGCTAGGCGCGTTGCATGATGGGACCTGTAGACTGGGCGGCTCAGACTGCCTCACCGTCCCCTCCCCAGTAGCTCCTCCCCT